ATTGTTTTGTCAATAAAAGCAAAAAAAAAACTTTGTTAGTGCATATTGCAGTACCTGGAGACAGCAGAAGAGAAGAGAGAACTGGAGAAAATAACAATATACAAAGACCTGCAAATAGAAGTAAAACAACTGGCAAAATAAAGCAAAGATAGTACCAATAGTAACAGGTGCCTTGAATGCAATCCTCAAACATCTGAAGCATCATCGGCACTGACAAAATTGCTATCAGTCAATTGCAAAGGGCAGCTTTACTTGGAACAGCTTACATCCTGCGAGGATCCCTTTAACATCACCAGACAACAATATCTGTGTCACTGGTTATTTTTAAACTATACCCAGTTCAAACTCAAAAGATCCACAAAAGCATTGGACCCTAGGCCTAGATTTTCTACAAGGGAGAGATTTTATTTTGAAAAAAACTATATCTAAGATACAAAAGTGAAATAAACAGATATGTGAATTGCTTCAATGGTCTATCATACTATATCCTACTTCTCTTACTGTTGGTATTGCACAGTGTTCACTATGCTATGCTGTGCTATTACTTGTTCTTCTATGCTATATTATTTCTACTACCAGCATACTATTACCATAGCTACTATGCTGCTATTACTAGTATACAACAGTATTTTTATTGACCCTGGTCTGTGTTTAACTCCCTCCCCCCACCTTTCCAGGATTTTCTTCTTTTGCTTTTTTTTCTCCTTTATTAATGGGCAGCATATAACACACTGACACATTCGCAACATTGGGCTGGGCTTCTTTTTCTTCTGGATCCTTCCACCTCTATGAAGACCACTTCTTTTATTTGGCTGCTGCAGCAGCTGCACTGCTTTAAAAATACATCTCCTCCTCCAACCCACCTATTTCAAGATTGAGCTTTTGATAAGCAACTCTGCCATGCTTTGATGCTGGGGAGAAGGCTTAAATAGGAAGGGAGAACAGCATAAATGATTGCAATTTTCTCTGCAGCCTGCTCTTCCACAATCTGCCTCTCCCGGGTCCTCAATAGGTGGATAAAAATGTCAAATGCAGACTAAATATCTGACTGACTCTGCAAGCTACCATAATAATTCATTATATATACATATATGTCACCTGACTCCCAATGAATATCTAAGATTAAGAATACTATGGTGTCAACAAAGATGCCTAAAAGGGACCAAATGATCCACACTCCTCACCAGACTAATTATAGAACTATCAAGGGACACTATTCTGTTGTTTCTCAAGGCCTCTTTCAGTGAACCTGTGTTGTAGACTTGGCAAGCTTTGAATAGTTTAACCTGCAACCCTATGACATTCTTCCTAGAAGTGAGAGCCACTTTGAATAGATGATAGACAAAAGATGATACCGTTTGATATTAAATGAACTCTAAATAATGTACATAATAACTTCCATGTCACAGTTTTAGTTTGGGGAAATGAAAGTCTTAAAAGGAAAAAAAAAAACCTGCTAGTAACATGAATCAATCTGATATGATTCAAAGTTTTCACAATCAGATTGGCATCCAATACAGTAGTAATTATCAGCCAAATCTCCATTATGACATTGAGGAATTTTATAGCCCTTGGGTGCAAAGAAAAAACAAAACCCACAATTTATGCTGGCTTAATAAATGTATTGAGTTTACCTGGATTTGGTTTCTTACCCTAAGCAGAATTTAGGGCCAGGCTGCAAGAAGACAATGTGGAATAAAAGCTGAATAGATTCCAAATGCATTAAAAAATATGAAAAGAAATTGAAGAGACACACACAACAAAGTCTTTATGTAATTGGCCCAGTGATATTTCATTGCCATGCGAGAGCATCACTGAACACTCTTGTTTGTAATGCAGGAGTTACAGCTATCTAAGGAGATCCAATATTACCATGGCACTGTGCAATGGTGCTTGCATTCCCTTTTAATTATGGAGAAGGGTAAACATGTTTCAAGCTATGCTGGTTCCTGAAAGACCTCATTATGACTGATCCAAAGTCTTGTCTTCTTTACCAAAGAATATTTACTGAAATCTTTCCTTATCTATACATGTTATAATTAAGACTAATTGCACCGATATCCTAGTGTGTGCAATTTTGTGGATGTAATTTTTATTAAATGAATGTTAAACAAGATAAACTAATTTTAGAGAAGAAATAAAAAACAGTGAACAAATAAAAAGGATTATAAAGAACTGCCTTATAATATTAAGTGGTTATAAATGATTGGTTTAAAGTGGTTATAAATGATTGGTATAAATATAAGGTTACACCATAATTTCCTTCTTTTTATAGTTTACAAGTTGATTACAAGTTCATTTTTTTTTCTTTCTTCAGCAAAAAGTCCATAAGGGGTTCCCAATCACTAATAAATGCACTTATAGTCCTTTCCCTAATCAAACAATTCAATTTGGCATATCTGTTAATTCTACCATCTTTACCAACCATTCCTTCATTGTGGATGTTTCATTTTTGTGCATATTAATAGTCTTGCTGCAGTTATCATGTGCAACCAGGGTTATGTTTTAAAGTCCTAAATGGTATGGGGCCCAAAGGCTGCAAAGGCCTTTGCCTTGTACTCAAGAGTAGTTATTCTTGATAATTTTAATGTCATAAAGAGAGAAGCCATCTCAGCTGTGGGCCTCCAGCTATGGAAAAATTTCCCCCTGGAAACAGAAGCATAGCAAGTTTTATTCATTCAAAACTCACCCAGGTATTTTAGTCATTTGATTTTTGTACGCTTACTCTGTAGTTTTCCTCTTTTTATCATAGTGTGATTTTTCTGTTTAAATTACTTTATCCTTACCTCATCTGTACAGTACCCTGATAACTGAAAGATTATTTTAAAGGTGTGTTAATAAATAGTAAGCAAGCATAGAAAGACAGTCATTGCTTGAACCTGTAATTCTACAATGCTAAATAAGGAAGCCACTTTGCAGGAAGTGGCTAGTGCTAGTGTATTTCGATTCCCAGGTGTTCACAGCTTCATCCAAATGCTTTAGGTCTAACCTTGGCAGAATGAGGTTGGATGCAATTAAGCTGATGCAATTTTATTTTATTTTTTGTCTTTCCATAGCTGAGCATCTTCTACTCCTCCAAATATGCTGAATTAAAATTCTCCTCATTCTGTAAGTTGGGATTCAGTATCACGAGAGCTGCACATTGCCCACTTTGGCTGCATTGGGTTCTACTGTGCCACTTAATTGTTTTTGGAAGAAGCATTGAGACAGGCAACCTACCCCAACCTCCAAGCAGATCATTAATAGCTATAATGAAAACTGCTAGATAACCTAGATTAGTTTCGCTGAGATATGCTGATGCTCAACAATTTACTTTATGGGAATAGAAAAAGTTACGATAGTTGAACCAAAGGAGACCAGTGTGTTGGGTCATAAGCAGGGACAACAGGTTCTAGTCCACTGTAATCCATGGAAGGTCACACTGTGATTTTGGGACTAATCATTCTCTCTAGGTCTAACCTATCTTGGTATTGTTATGAGAAAAAGTGGAAGAGGGAAGGCTATGTATGTGCACTGCTTTAAGCTTCTGAAGTAATTTACAAAAAATAAAAAATAAAAAATGAAGCACATTAATGAATCTTCCAGTACTCTATAAACAGATTAGCAGTTCAGGAAGTAACAGTACAGTATGTGACTAAATGAGTGTCAAACTTTGCGTCGTCATGGCAGCATCACATGATGTGTCGCGACTTTTTCCCCCTTCGCTAAACCGGGCGTGGGCATGGCCAGTGTGTGACACATCCGGCCTGCGGGCCGAGAGTTTGATAGTCCTGGATTAAATAGTCTTGAAAGCTAATGTTGGACTAGAAGTCAAAAGACTTCCTGGAAAACAGCAAAGGCAAATATATCCATAATGTTGCTAAGAAAGACAAATACCTTGGAGCAATCACCATGATTTTACCTTTACCTTGAACAGACAGGTAAAATTGACATGATATTAACCAATTACCTTACCCCCAAATTTCTACTCATCAGAATCATTTGTAATCTGTTTTAACGTTTTCATCAAATAAATCTCTTCTGATTCATTAAAACACTGTGTTCTGGAGCTTTTAAAAATAACACTCATGGAAAAGTTCTTCATCCTTCTTGCCGCCTTCCCCAGTAAAGGAAATAAATAAAGGTTATTCTTTTATAAATTGTGACAAACGTAATACTAAAGTGTGAAACTATCTGTCTGCTGTTTTCTGACTATGTAAAGTGACCACAAATGGTAATCAGTGGCGACAATGTATTATGACTTGCTAAGAGCTCCCCAGGAGACAGGAACTTACGCCTTGGGCAAAAATCGCTATCAGGAGACAGGAACATCAGACCAAGGTGGAAATTGTCAAGATGACCCTTTAAAATGTAAAACAACCTAAAGGATGACCTAAGAGAATAAGGGGAAGTTGGGAGGGCTTCTTAGGCCTGGCGTGCATTGTGAAGGTGTATAAAATGTATAGCTTGAAAACTGCTTTTTGTGCTCTTTGAACTCAATCCATTTGGGAAGAGTCTAAGAGGTCGCGCTTGCAACCGCTTTTCTTTTTTTTTTCTTCATGTTTTTCTCCAATAAATCTTTGATTTTGTTAACCAGACTTGTCTTGGAATTGTGAGTATAAAATTTTGGGAATTTTAAATCTCACACCAGGAACATTCTGATGAAGACAATTACTTTGTGAAATAGTCAAAATGTTAAGTTAGCCAGGCTATTGAGTTGTGGACCAGGGACTCTTAGATCTGCAGTTCCAAAATGGAGATGGAGAAAAAGGCAATTGTGATGGCATCTGGAATTTATCAAAGCTTCCTCTCAAATGGGCTTCGATCAAGGAAACCTGAACCTCCTTCTCTGTGGGGTGGGGAGAGAACAGCTGCCCTGGAGGTTTTCTTGGACTCTTAATTGTGCATCACGCAATTCATCAGGATTGCTGATGCTAGCCAGACACCCTTCTAGCAGTATCTCAAAAGCCTGAGTGATGCACTGAGGAAATTACACTGCAGAGCAATATGCTGACCAGGTGTTGCTAATTAGAGATAATTTTAATTCAGTCTTCTCCAAGAGAATTAGTGCATGACAATGAGAAAGCTTTCACTGCTGCTCCAAATTATTACTTTTTAAAAAAAGAAAACAATGTTCATCACATAATATGCCAACACTATGGGGGTTTGAGGATGCTTTCATAAAAAACTAACACCAATAGAATTCTGTGGCCTAGCAAAGAGGTCATCTAGTTGGAAATAGGTTCCACTGAAAATAATAGGTCTTAAATTTCTCTCCAATAGGCAGTACATGAATTTTAATCTCGAGAACCTTATGCAAGCAGAGAAATGGCTGTTTCTATAAGTAGAATAATTTTCTACACTCCATAAAAGTGGCTAAAATATCAGAAATGAGTATGGGATGCTTTAAATTTGTCAGAATTCCTCCCTGGTTCAAAGTTGTAAGTAAATTAGGTATTGAACATCATCTTGTCTTCCTACCAGCCCATTTTTAACATGGGGGGGGATGGTGTGTGGAAGGTTCAGGAGAGAGTGGGGAAGGCTGCATCCAGAGGGTCTATAGATTAAAGGCTTCTCAGTCCCTGTACTATACCTTGAACCCAGGGTGAAATTTTATTTAGCCATTAATGAGTCAAAATTAGTTGTTCACAATTACATAATTTTTGTGCTGCTATTTGAAAGTAATTTCAGCCAGACATAACAATATTTCTCAGAGGTCAGATGCCTGTAAAGTACTGCATTTATCAGACTACTCCAAAATCAGAATACTCTTGAGCATTACAAAATTTCTGTCCATGAGGCTTATTTGGGACATGAAGATAAAAAGAACAGTTTATCTGGAATGGACACGTGAACACAAAAAGCAATATTAAAAACATTCATCAAAAATATAAAACACAGCTATTACAAATAATTTAAAAGTATTTTCCCCCACCAAATGGTGCAGAATTGTCTATCATATAAATAGAAAAGAAAATAGCAGTTTGCAAGCTGGATCTCTTGCTTGGTTAACCAGACTTTGGTTTTTTCAAAGGGTCTTTGGTTTGCAAGTGCTTTTCGGTGAAAGTTCAACTATTCAATTCAGCAGCTTCATTGCATCTGAAGAAATCTAGCAACTTCCATCATCCTTCTTTGCTTTTCTTCATTGATTTCCTGCACCAGCGCAATCAAATCACAATCCAAGTTATTAAATCTTGTTTGTGTTCCATGGTCATGCTCTGGAACAGGAGAAAAGGGGAGAAAATCAATGGAATAAATGATAGCAAATATTTCTCAACAGAAAAAACAAATCATTTTTCCCCTACCCAAATGCAATACACGCACTACTGTTATTACCTTAGTTTTTGAACAGGTTGTATACAAGGCTTCCTCCTTATTTAGGGTTTAAATGAGATGATCTCTTAAAAATAGTATCAGTAAAGCAGCAGTTACTTTTCGGATCAGAAACCAAAAGTGGCTTAGCACAATGGTAAATGTTTGCCTCACTTACACAGTTGAGTAAGAGCTACTTTATCAACATCATGAAGTGGTGGAAACGTATTTAGGTTTGGGTCTGTAAGATTCTAATTTACTTTTACTGGTCAAATTTGGCCTGCAGCTTAGAGATTCTAGGCTGAGTGACTTTTCATTAGCGAAGTATTTTGAGATACTTTTCTCCAATCTGGTGTTCTATTTGTGTTGGCACTCAAACTGACCAATGCATAAAAACCATGCTGGGAATTGGGAGGGGGAGGATTATGGCCTTAGGACATTTGGAAGGCATCTGACTGGAGAAGGCACTGTGGTACTTGGAATTGATGAAACTCTGTGACACACCTGTTACAAGCACCTGAACTTCCATGGGCTTCTCAAATGACAGGGCAAGCCACATTCAAAGAGATACAAAGACACAACAAGCTTTTGGCGATAAAGGATCAAAGCATATCCAAAAGGCATCTCCAAAATAACTTTCAACCCTAAGGATAATTGCTAAGACATGTGTTTCACAATGTCCCACTAGTCTTTAATAAGCAACTGAATATATGAATTATTAGAATATATGAATTAGAAATTCATAAATTATATGAATATATGAATTAGAAATAAGTGCTATGTTCACTATGAAACCTTGTCACTTGTATCCCCTAAGAATTTTTGCTCAAAGAGTGTATAACGTTGCTTAAATGTTAGCAGTTGGAAGCTCTCCTTCTGCCTTAGGGCACCACCATTTTAATTATGTTTTAATAAAACCAAGAAAAATCCTATATAAAAATGCTTATAAGCCAGAGATATATAAGTAGCATTAATGGAATTTTTAAAATTATCCTGTATCCCCTATTACAAGAACAATGATACTAGCTCATTCTTCCTTAGTAGTTACAGTTACAATTAGTTGTATTGATAGTTTGTATCAATGAATCCTTTAGCACCATTGGTTGGGAAAAGGATGATCTGTTGTTGATTTAAGGTTGGTATATCTGATGCATTTCTGGCTACTTCTACAGATCATTGCCTCCTAGCAAAAATGCTAGTTGCAGCATTGGTGACTTCATCCTGCAGTTCAATATGCATTTCTAGAACTAGAAGCTGTATATGGCCCACAGCTCTAGTTACTCAAGAGACAAAGAAAGTGGAACACATTTCCTGAAGAAGTCAGTGGCTGCTTGTGGTCAGTTTGTATCCTCCTTCCCTTGTATTAGCAAAGTATTTCCTCTCCGGGTGACCCTTAATTGTGTTTTTAAAAAAACTAAAGCTGTGCACCTATTAACAACTGCTTAAAGCAACAGCATCTTTCCCTGCAACCATGCGGGCTTGGTAGGAACAGTGCAAACCTGGGAAAAGATGTATTTGATTTAGAAAGTTGCTAATATGTACTCCAAAGCATCATTTTATTTTGTCTTTAAACCTGAAGCAATTGCAGAGCCCTCACTATGATGACTGGGAATTTTAGACACAGTAATCTTGAAAAATTGGAAAGTGCATGTATATAACCCTATGTTTGCACATTTACATGTTGGTCAGAACGTGACTTGCACATGGTAAAAATGCTAGCTTAAAAAGAGAAGAAGATAGTGATTACAATAGTGGACTATAACGCTGCACTGCAAGTTCATTAAAAAAAATCAGCAGGAAAAAGGTTAAGAAGTTCCTCCCATGTTCACTATGAAAAAACCACATCTATGTGATTCTGCAGCTTGGATTCTCAATCTTAAACTAATTTTGGCCATCATACTAAACCAGGATTTACAAATGTCAACGGTGAAGCAAAATCAAACGTTTTAAATCAAACCAAAATTTTGTCTCTCCCTGCCCTCCAATAATTAGCTTTTTAAATAGCTTCATCATCTTACATTTGCAGAAAAAGCAAATTATGTTTTTTCTTAAGTTTCCTCTTTGAAGGATAACAGTCTAGATAACTACAGGGTCATCTTGCTCACAGATAAATTACAGGGTATCTCAGTTTGATGTGTGAACCACACCAGTAGTGGCATAATGATTTAGCTGGCTTAACGCCCTATGCAAAAACAGCCACTGCGATTTGTTAACCAGTTTACCTAGCATGTTGTACTACACTCTGTACAGGGAATAGCCCAATTCATTAGCAAACACATTAGGCTTGCAGCTCACTTTGGTAACAATGTCCATTCCGTCTAGGCAAGAAGCCAGCTACCAGAAGCCCCTTTTGCAAAGGCGCCTTTCATTTAGGTTCCTTCACTGCCCACTTAAGGAACCGGAACACTCCATCTCCTGTCTCCAAGAAAAGCCGACGGCTGGCAAGAGAATAAAGGAGCGGTGGCGGGGAGGGTGTGTGCCTGCATAACTAACGAGGAACCATCATTGAAGAGGAATCAATCATCATGCCGCCAATCTCTTGAATCTTTGCCGGACGCTCGTCCGCAGCCCTTGGGAACCATCTACGTCCTCTCACCTCGGCTAGGCTTTTCCGCGGAGGGGCTGGGCGGGCGCGGGGTTCAAGGCGCCCGAGCCAAGCGCCGGTCGCGACTGCCCGCCGCCGCCTGCTCGACGGCCTCCTGCCGGCTCTTGAAGTCCTGGATGGCGCGCTTGTTCTGGAAGTCGATGAGCGCCATGGTGATGGAGGCGTTCCAGCAGCTCTCGCCCGGGCACCGAAAGTCGATCTCCTTGCGGTCCGTGGTGACGATGGTGAAGTAGACGTACTTGCCGGTGCGCTCCACGCAGTCCACCTTCTGGATGGAGCCGAAGCGCAGCTCCTTGGCGCGGGCCCTGCTGCCGCCGACGCCGCCGACGCTGCCGACGCCGCCCTCGGGCGAGAAGAGGCTCAGGCTCTCCTTGCTCAGCACCACCTGCTTCTTCTTCCACAGCTGGAAGAGGCTGTCGCTGCGCTTCTCCAGCTCGCCCTCGCGGATCACCTCCGACGCCGGCGCCACCGACGGCCCTTTCATTCTGCCCGCTACTGCCGCCCCGCCACGCGACTACGATGCCGGCTCGCCCTGCTCTCTTCTGTCGGCTGCCGGTGCTGCGCGTCTTGCTATATTGCGCGAAGAGCTCCGTTTATGGCCTCGGAGTCTCGGTGGGCGGCTCCACCTTGCTGTGAGCCTCTCCGCCCACGCGGTGGCCCCATTCCCTGGTGCCAGACGACGAGGCTCCTCCCTCCGTTCTCCGCCCGCCTCCTTTAACCCACGCTACAGATCGCGTCCCCTGGGGGAGGCTTGGTGAGGCGAGGCGGAGGGTTAAAAAAAGAAATCGAAAGGAAAGGCGCTTCTGCGGATGCTGTGAGGGTTGCATGATCGGCGCTAAAAGTGAGGGGGGAGGGACGATAATTTGAAGGAAAGATGGAATGCAAATTTTCGATTTTTTCCTTACTTGGATATTATGGACAAACTGCACTATCTTGTGGTAACCGAACACGCGAGCCACATTTACGCGAAAGTCTTATTTTCGAGGCGAAGCGAATGAAGTTACTTTTGTAGGCGCTGAAGTCATGGCGCCGCATTCGTGCGCGCAGGGAACCATCGCGCGCAATTGCCAGAGGTTCGGAGTTCAGAATGCAAGATGGGAAGAGTTTTCTAATGTTATTTTTTTATTAGTAAAGTATAACAAAGAGGCAACATCAAAGACACACGACTGCTACAACAATATCACTTAACAATGGTCCAGGCTGCCAGAAGACAAAGAAACAGAACTTTGTATTTCCCTCTAATGTAGGTAATGCGGGTCCAGCTAGATCACTGAAGGGCCCTCTTTATTCATAGTATTGTAAGAAAGAAAATGTGCTTGTTTGAGAAAAGCAAATTTATCCAGTAGAAACAGTACAAAGGCAGACAAATTCCTTTGAAGTAGAAACATTCTATAAGAGGGGCCCCTCAGTTGTCAGAGATAGAGACATTTGGTGATATACAGTTTGAAGGTTAAAGAGACCAAGCATGACCACATGAAATATCAACAAGAGATAATTTGAATCTTATGCTTCGGTGATTTACAAGAAGAATTATGACTGTTTGGCAAAGATAATGTAAAACTTAGTAATTAGGAAATGTCAATTAAATATAACAAATGTATATGACCATATAAACTGCTGAGTTAACAGAATCCTTTGTTTGAAACTGTATAAAACAGAGGTCTCAGGATCATAAAGTGGTTCAGATCTTGAGGTATCAATACCTATCTGATCCTTATTGCAATAATAAACTGACTCTGTCTGCCCCGAAGGGATGTCTCTTAATTCCTTCCTTCCATAACATCTCCACACTCAAAGTGGTAAAAGAGGAAGTAAAGAAGAGGTATGACAAACACATCATAGGTGGGTGGTTAGGATGCAGGAAGGAAAGCGGATTGTCATGGGATACTCAGCCCCTGATTTCTACATACTTCTTGGATGGTTGTTACAGAGTGAATTTAGCTGGTCTTAAAGATCTGAGCAAGCTGAGCATTGTGGGACAGGACTTGATCTACAAAAGCCTGAGATACTGCAGTTGCCTGCTTTTGGCAAGGGTGATGCGAACCCAAGTGAAGATTTCCTCCTTACATTACACCCTAATCCAGAAGTCCAACTCACTCCCTAGCAACCAAGGGAAAAACGGCATTATTGTCCGTGCATGGAAGGATCCATTATTCATTCACAAAAATATAAAACATACATTTAGACATATATGTAGAAACACAAATGTTAACATTGATATGAACATCCCAGTGTTTGGGATTCCATTAGTTGCAGACAATAAGAAACAAAATAAATAAAACAGTTGCCCTAGAAATGATAAGCAATAGTAGCAGATTACAAAATTATGACAAAATAGCAGAAATTCGTGAATATCATTTCCATTCTGTTTGAATCCTATATTAAAATTAGCATCTTCCATGTCACTCACATGAGAATATCACTTTTGAATCATCTGTGAATATACCGGTACTTCATTTCAATTTTAAAAATAGCTTCTAAGATTGAGGAATGGCTGTTTGAAGATCTGAGGGCAGCAAATCAGGAATATAAGCCTTTGTATTTTGAGGGGCCCTTGATCCCAACAAAGCTATAATATGCAAAAATTCAATTCCATGTCCCTTTGTGTCTTTTGATGAAATATTTCCATCTGGTTTAAACTTTCTGGGCCTATTGCATTCATTGCTCATGTTGGCTGTAGGTGATGGGACCCCTGCCCTACAAATCTGGAGACATCATCATACTGGAGAAGTCTCCTCCCCTCCCCTCTCTCCTCTCCCCTCCTCTCTCCTCTCTCTCTTCTCCCTCTCCTCTCCTTTCTCTCCTTTTTTTCTCTCTCCTTGCCTCTCCTCTCCTCTCTCTCCTCTCTCTCCTCTCTCTCCTCTCTCCTCTCCCTATCCTCACCTTTCCTCTTCCCTCCTCTCCTCTCCTCTCCCCTCCCCTCTCCTCTCCTCTCCATCCTCTCCTCTCTCTCTCCTTTCTCTCCTCTCCTCCTCTCTCCCCTCCTCTTTTCTCCCCTCTCCTCTCCTTTCTCTCCTCTCCCCTCTCTCCTCTCCCTCTCCTTTCTCTCCTCTCCTCTCCTCTCCTCTTCTCTTTGACTCACTTAGGTCTTGCAAAACAGCCTGTCTCAGGATTGTTGCCAAGGTCCATTTGGTGAATCAACTGCAGGTACTACACAAAGGAGACTTCTTTTTGTGTCAGAGTTCCTGGAATAGAAGCCATTTCTTTTTTCTAGGAAACTTGAAGTGCCTATAATTTGTTGCTTAGTAATGTTAACCAAATCACACCTTCTTTTTTCATCTGACGATACTTTGGGGCAATTCTGTGAGGGAGATGATATCACCCTCCAAATGCAAATTTGAATTTGCCCAAAAGCGTGATCTAGACGTTACCTTGATGAAATACAAATGTGAGAAATATTAGGTAAAATGTAATCTGGGCTTCCTCCTTGGGCTGAATCACGATGGCTGTATCCACATAATATGCTAAGCATTGCTTAGAAGGCAAAAGAGACTATTCCAAGAGATGTTTCTTTGGCAGACTTAGAGAAGTGGTTTACCTTTGCCACCATGTGGAATATTTTCCAATTTGCCAGTAATCTGGAATACCAGGCTGATCTGATTTCCCTTCCAAGGACTGATCTAATTTGTCTTGCTTAGCTTCTGAAACCAGCCAAAGTTGGCCAAGTACAGCCACTTATTGATTCTGGTGCTACTTACCCATATTTCACTGAAAAGAAAAATACACTATTGACCTGGTTCATATTATATACTAAATTATAAATTATAATTACAAAGTACAGAGGTTGAGTATGATAGGTGAAACCAGCCAGTGTGATTTGTTGAATTGGACTTAGTATATTATATGAATGTATCCATAGAATGTAAATTGTGGTTTATGACTTTGGACAGTGTCCGCATTCCATTCATTTGTTTAAATATTTCAAATATGTTGCCTTGAGTGGGGCCTGGTGCCCTTTCATATTTGGACTGTGTTTATCTAAAGGCAGGGTCTCAAACTATTGGTGGCTTGAAGAGCGACAAAGGTTATTAATGATTACTTGCAAAAAAAAAAAAAAAGTAAACATTTGGCAACTTTCAGTAACTGGGACTACCCAGAGAACACACATACCAAAAGCTCTTGAGACAATCACTTTAGTTACTTTAGTTCTCTCCTAGGAGGCTGGGCATTAGATGGGTGGCTATGGGAAAGCAACAAAACGGAAGAGTTTGTTTCCTGTTTGGCAAATCCAGCAGCTCCAGGCAAAGGAAAGAAACGAGGTTGCATGAGCAATGCCAAGAGTGAGAGTAAATAAATATTATATTTGCAGGAACAATTTTTGGCACATACTATGCCTTACGTGTGTATATTTATATATGGGTATACTGTAGACTCAACATAGCCATTTTCTCAATATATGCATACATTCAGGAATGGCCTTTCCCAAGATTTTCCTGTAATAACGCCTGTCATTTTTTTTGTTGATATTTTCTGAATATACAATTCCAAAAACAAAAAAAAAACACCAGTATTTAATTAATCAGCAGTGCAAATAAAGCTGCTGCATCAGGTGCAGTTAAAAGCATCCCTTTTTGTAAGACTAAGAACAGCAGCACATTCTCTGAATTCCTAATTGAGTTTGAAGAGCTTTATCTAGTTTCATGAGATAAAAAACAAATGCAAACACCTTCACATCTTGAGATGGAAGTAGTTTAAAGTTTGTTTAAAGCGGTATGTCACATCAACAATGTGATAATCAGCAAAATATTGGAAACTGACTGCAAAGTATAGCAAGTCGCTATAGAACCAAACTAAAAATATTAATTATTGGTGCATTCCTAAAACCACAGAATAAAATCTGTCTGGGATTAGAAAGCCTTTACTCCCTATTAAATGACAGATAAAGAGGAAGCCCAGTGAACTTCTAATATGGCCAATGACTATTGAATTGTTATTAATAAAAAATTCAAAAACTAGTTACATACCAAAGGTTCTTTTTCAAAAGGCAATTAGACTTAGTTTTTCCTTGAAGATGTTTCACTTCTCATCCAAGAAGCTTCTTCAGTTCTGACTCACAACTGAAGAAGCTTCTTGGATGAGAAGCGAAATGTCCTCAAAGGAAAAACTAAGTCTAATTGCCTTTTGAAAAAGAACCTTTGGAAAAACCAGGACTTGAATGACTGAGAATCTCCATAGATAGTTACTGGTCATACCAGTTCATTCCAGATGAACATCAATATGATTTCATTTGATTGACTGTATGTCAAGTCATTGTCAACTTTTAGCTCCCACATGGATTTTCTTCATGAATGATTTTATTAGAGAACAAAAAAATGATGTCATATGTGATGAGGAAATCGTTCTGTTGTGTAATCCAGACATCATTTCCCAAGTGCCTCCTGAAATTAAACAAAGTGGATATTTGCTTGATAAATCCATAAACTGATTTCCTTTGGCCTCATGAAGAAAAATAAAAAGGATTTTTGTAGCATTTGCACAAAGGAAGTGGTCAAAGTTTAATTACCTAGAGTCTTAGACTGTGGATATTCCTCTTTACTTCAGTCAAGCAGGCATTAACCAATACCGTTAAATAATGTCATCCTGTGTACTAATATTTATCTGATTGGCATTCCTTTCCTCTAAGCAATTGTTAA